GACCAAATTACCAAATTAGTCGGAAAAGATATTGACAAAAAAAAAAGAACTACGTGGCAGACGCCCATTAGTTTGCAATTATAAAATGAAAATAGTAGAGCCAACCGACCCAAAAGAATAGTACTCTAATAAAACCTCCCAATCCGGAAAGAGCAATTATGTAAAATAGCATTATAATTGTGGAATTTTTGCACATTGGAGTAATAAAAATCAAAGAGACAAAAAGGTCACCTGATAAAGACTCAGATACCAACGCTTTTGTTTGTTTTTGATCGACGATGTTTTTTTAACCATAAATGACCTCCACCTATTTCGTAATATAATTCAGTAATTTATTACTAATATGTTTTCAACCATAAATTTAAATTACACACCCAACGTTAGAAACCAAATTAGGAGAGCAATTACAAAACCTTAGAATTTTTAAACCTAGCATTACCAGTCTAGCTATCAACCAAAGACTTTGAATTGCGAGGACTAAAAGATAAAGGGATCAAAACAAACAAAATTTGAAAAGTATAAAATACAAACTTAGAATAGTCTGTCATAATGTTATGTACCTCGACCCAAACTATTCTCCTTTCGACAAACTCATCCGACTATATAGAAGCACTTTGATTATTCGCTCGACCACACACTATTCCAGTTAATATTATCGATTAAATCTACACGCTACACATGTCCTACTTAATGTTATTTACCTCGACCCAAACTGTTCTCCTTTCGACAAACTCGTCCGACTTGGTCATATCTTGTCCGAGACTATCTTTAAGATCAAATTTGGTTGTATTTACTAACATGTGGTACGATCTTATTCCCACTACCTATGGTACAATCTTATTTCGATTTTTAGAATGGCTTATAGTCGTATCCTGATATTGGATAATGGTTAAGAAAAATTTAATTGACCGTTTTTATTTTCTATTAAAGATCATTACAAAACTGATGTAGGCGAGAATATCATATGTATTATAAATAATTTTACCTAATGCTTTTATAAAATATTCATATATAAAAAAAACCTAGTTGTTTTTCTAATATATCACATTTTATTTTGAAATTAGCTAAATGTTGAAATTCTTATATGAAAAAGCACTATGAAGATAACTCAGATGAAAAATGACCGTTTTGTCATTTTATTTCCGATTCAGATGTTTGTCCTAAATTTATATCAATATTTGTGCCGAATACCGAAAAAATTATGAGCCAAAGATTCAAAACTCTCCCGATAAAAAAAAAAACATTTAAAAGTCCAAATATCCAAAAAAACACCCATCTGAATCCGGATAAGTTGTAGCAAACTTCCAAGACCAAATGTGTTAAAATTTCAATATATTATTCAGTTTTGTTTCACCCCAGCATTGACACATGCTACTTCCTTGGAGTCTAACTACCTTCCACGAGGAATTCATGGTCTTCTTCCAAATGTTATTATATTATTACGTCCTTTTGAATCGGCCTTTTCGTTATAATATTTTTTAATTCTACGAAAACGATTTTCACAAACTTATTTAATTCAACCGCCTTGTTTTCACATTAACTTTTAAAATATTTCTTTTGAATTTTTCTTTAACCATATCTGAGGTTTTAGTTCCCTAATTACATCACCCCACGATAAATAAGTTGTTAAATACAAGAAAGCTCCATTTTCATTTCACATCCACCGGAACATATATTATATAGAGCATATCTCGTAGTGATGAAATTCAATATATGCAAATAAAAACTTATATAAAATGAAATTTTATAGAAAACAATATCAAAAGAAGAAAAGTAATTCTTAATTAATTTGTTCCGGATTTACCCTTCGTCCTTCGTCCTTCGTCTATTTAATGAAACGTTGTGGTAGCCTTCGTAGAAACTACTCACAAGCCAAAGGCCAAACTAAAAGTTGGAATATCCTTAAGTAAAAACCAAACTTCAAATTTCTTTTACTTCTCAAACACTCAAGAATACTTTTCAATCATCTCCCAAAACCTACCTCAGTACTTTTCCTTTGCTCAAAATGGCCCCCGAGATTTCCGTGAACTCGATCTATGCATCCGAAAAGGCGCATCAAGCACCTTCAAGGAGAGCTTATGTGACGTTTTTAGCAGGCAATGGAGACTACGTGAAGGGAGTGGTGGGACTAGCAAAGGGTTTGCGTAAGGTTAAAAGTACTTACCCTCTTGTTGTTGCTATGTTACCTGATGTCCCTGAGGAACATAGAGAGATCTTGAGGTCTCAAGGCTGTGTCTTGCGTGAGATCGAGCCCGTCTATCCTCCAGACAACCAAATTGAGTTTGCCATGGCGTATTATGTTCTCAACTACTCAAAGCTGCGTATTTGGAACGTACGTACTTCGGTCCTTCACAAAAACTTTTAGCTTACATGTTTTAGTTAAAGTTCTTTTGTGGTTATTTACTTTTGAAACTTCTTGCAGTTTGAAGAGTATAGCAAGATGATTTACTTGGATGCAGATATTCAAGTCTTTGACAATATCGATCACCTCTTTGATTCGCCTGATGGGTATTTCTATGCTGTGATGGATTGTTTCTGTGAGAAAACATGGAGTCACTCGCTGCAGTATTCGATTGGGTATTGTCAACAGTGCCCTGAGAAAGTCACGTGGCCGGAAGATATGGAATCTCCTCCTCCTCCTCTGTATTTCAACGCCGGTATGTTTGTCTTTGAGCCTAGCCCTTTGACTTATGTGAGTCTCCTTCAGACATTGGAGATCACACCGCCTTCACCGTTTGCAGAACAAGTGAGTTAACTCTTCAAACTCAAGTTTTCCAATGCTCTAAATCAAGATGAAGATCTGGTTTTCATGATTTTGGTATTTGTAACTTTGATTTTGCAGGATTTTCTCAACATGTTCTTTGAGAAAGTGTACAAACCGATCCCTCTGGTTTACAATCTGGTTCTGGCTATGCTTTGGCGTCACCCCGAAAACGTGGACCTGGAGAGTGTCAAGGTTGTTCACTACTGTGCAGCTGTAAGTAGTTCTTTCTTTGATTACAAACCCAGCCTGTTTATATTTTTGCTGCAATTTGATTTCTTATCCTGTTGATGATGAAATTGATAGGGATCCAAGCCATGGAGGTACACAGGAGAAGAAGCTAACATGGACAGAGAAGACATAAAGATGTTAGTTGATAAATGGTGGGATGTATATACTGATGAATCTCTCGATTTCAAGATGAAAACCCCTGCAGATGGGGAAGAAGCCGTTACGAAATCGACCATCCTAGCTTCGGTACAAGAACCGGAAATTACCTACTATCCTGCTCCTTCCGCTGCTTGAGACATCTTCCAGGAAAGTGCACAAGACTCTGCGTGTTTCTCTTTCTAGTTTCTTTTGATATATGTATGCATAGTTTGGAATAGTATAAGCAGAACTAGAAACCTTGGAGAGTTGGAATCACAGCTCTTAGCTGCCCTTTCTCGACCCGAGAGGTTTCCAAATAGTATATGCTAAAGTGTGTAAGGTGTTAAACTATTAAGGAAATGGAGTATTTTGTATTTGTATTAATATATATGTTCAATTGTTCATGATCCAAACATGATTGAAAACAAACAGAACAGTAAGGGACGCAAAATGTGTTCTTGGCTTCTGACAAACTATCTCAATAACATAACAAACTGAAAATTTCATAAACACAGACTAGTGTAAGGTTTCTGTAAACAAGTTTGCTCTAAACCTGTAACATATATTTTCGCATATCGACTATCTAGTGTATCCGTTATTAGAAGCAGATGTATCATTCCAGGGAGGTAGAGTAATACTCACCTTCGATTTCCTCATCTTCAAAGTACGATGTCTCAGACTCGCCTTCAAAAAACAAAAAAGGAGCACTTTCTTCGTCTTTCTGAGGTTTCCTCTCATTCATTCCTATAACCGTAACAATCTTTCTCTGGATATAGTCTTCAACAGCCACACGTTCAACTTCTTGAGCCTGAAAGCCGAGAACAGATAAGCAATCTCCTTGGAAGTCCATGTCAGTAGAGGAGAATATTAGGCCTGCTATTGATCTTGCAAGGTCCGGGACATGGCTGCAAATCTATGAAAGATAAGCACAAAATGCAAATCTTGATCAAACCTTTCCAAATCAAAGATATTGGCACTAACAGTTCAAAGCAGGTTGTACAAGGGAGCACCTTACGAGCATGTGAGCTTAGAAGAAAACCCTCATGTTTAGCCTTCAAATCATCCAATGCATTTTTAATTCCTTTCTTTACAAGATTTATACCAGGCTGAGTCTTCTGTCTCGTTGGATATTGATTGTGATACCAATGGAGGGTGATCTGTATTTGAACATACGAAGGGAAATTTTCCCATTCGAGAAACACATGTCCATCTTGATCATTAACACTCGCCAGGACCAAACCGTAACTTTTCCAGTCAATCTTTTTCAAAGCACTCAATGCAAATTGTGGAATAGGGCAAGGTGAGAAATTGTCAAAGTATAAAACCTGGGGAAATTTCATCATTTAAGATCAACCGAATATACATTACATGTCAATATTGGCTAATGTATTTAATTTGAGAATTGCACAGACCTCTGTTTTGCCGTCGCATGACCTGCTGCAATGGCGAGTTGTCTCTAATAAGTCACTTATTACAATCACGACGTCTATAGTCCCTCCAGTTCTCTTACGATTTTCTTCAGAGCATGCGGTTCCACTTCCAACTTTTAGATGCTCTCTGAAAGTGTTTATAATATAACCAGATTTGTCAGAGGTAATGTGGAATGACTAGACTAAGTTAAGTCGTAAGTGTTTTAAAATCATAGTACATACCTATCAGAGAAGCAATAGTCACAGATCATATCCAAACAGTTCCCATGCCTTAAAACATAGTCCTCAAGACCAAACTTCAACCGTTCAAGATTGGAGGCAGTAAAGCATGGGTTTTTTTCAGTATTCACTACAAAAACGTATTGAGTTTGAGTACCAGGAGAAGTTCCTTGCTTAACCACCAGATCCATTGTGACATTCTGTAGAGGAAGAGAACAACCAGTTTATTAACTCCATGATTTGCTAGCTCTGTTACTAGATTTCCTGTGTATAACATTGGAAATAATTTTCTAGAGAAACTTTTACTTACAGGTATCTGCGGAACAAGCATCTGCAAGATAACAGGGTAGAAATATTAATTAAGAATAACTTAAGTAATCATGAGGGAACTTAACTTGATAAAAGTAACTACAATCAAGTGATAGCGCCATTCAAACTAAACAAAAGTATGTGAGATCATCAATTTTCAAAGCTTAAGTTAACCAGCAAACAAGATTCGGTAATTCATGACACAGAATCATGGCTTGACCTGATGAAAGCAGTAACTTAACTACTGGTTAACTAAAGAGCGACCTTCAAAGACTTCAAACATAAACTGTCATTGCAACCTGACCAACCGCCATTGAAATTCAGAACCGTTCTTCCTCTCTTATAGATATGTTTGCCTTTTATCTTGGTTCTATAACAAGTTGTTAGCAGTGGGTTTGTAATATTGTGTCTATGGTAACATCATCTTAAATTCTGAACACTGACTACCAATAACAAGCATACTTAAATTCAGTTGAAAATAAGAGAAACAAGGATACGAAAGAGAAAGAAGACCTTTTGAAAGAAGCCAATTATTGGTGCCACAAGAACGTCCATACTTCCAAAAACACTCAAGGATACTTCCGTCCCGCTGAAAACAACACAAACCGAACACATAAACATGTCAAGGCACTCAACAGTGCCTTAAAAACCAGCAAAAACGATACAGATTGAAGAATGTGCGCACCTAAACTTTGCACCATTCTTAGCCTGAGAAGCTTGTCTTTTCACTCTTCTGTTTGATATATTCTCATCAAGATTTACACGATAATAGTATACCTCATCGTCAGAAAAGCCTGCAACACCATCAGCACAGTGGAGGAGAGTAAGAAAAGAACGAGAACATGTTACACACTGGTCCTTAAGATGACTCAAAATTGCAGAACTAAGAGAACTTAATCTAGTATCAAGACAAATAACAATCAATCATAAAACCTAGAAATGAAAAACACAAGCGAGCTTTTTCGTTACGTAGCAAAAATAATCATTCAGAGAGACGAAACTTACAAGTCGTCTTGACGGAGAGTAACCCATCTGCATCACATATTCTACAGTCAGAATCGCTTTAACGCAGAATTTGCATTACAGAGAGAGGAACGAAGCTAAAAAATCAACTCGAACACAGAATTTGATGGTTAACATTGAATAACCGGATACCCAAGACTGACCCCAAATATTCGCTCCATTGAATTGTCTAGGGCACATCAGATCTTGAAATTCCTCCAAATTGCATCCAATGCCCGTGTCCGCAACTATACGCAGCATAAAATAGATAGAAATGGGACCAAATTTAGCGATGATAGAGATTCAAAGAGAGGGAAATTACTCGAAATAGGCGTAATCGGAGGATCATTGTCTGTAGATAGATCAAGAAGAACTGATAATCTACAGAGATCTTCTGCTAAACGGCATCTTTGAAAAGCAGACGAGATCAACTGCAGAAATCGAATTCCCAGAAACAGAAAATTTCCAGGGAAAAAAAAGAAAGGCTCAATCGAAATCCATGTAAACGGAGAGAGATCGATCAGGTAGATGTGGAGAAATTGATCGGTGACATACTTGAAGAAGAAGCTTTGGAACCGGAGCGTTGATCTCCATGGCAGGATCTTGGGTATCGAAATTTGAAATTCAAGTTCTCCACCCACCCTCCACTGTCTAGAGTCTAGGATCAAAATGAATAAAAGGAAAGTTTGATTTGGAAATTCATAATTATTTGGGGTTAATCATAAAAGAAATTAACAGGTAAAAGAAGTTTAAAATTCATCTTGCCTTGAACACTGATGAATAATCGACACCTTATGACCGACCAATCAAACATATTTAGTGAAAATAATGTGCAAGTAAATTTCAGCTCCAATTTGAAGAAAAAATGTCACTGATATACATGTCGCTTTTCTTTGAAAACTAAACTTTATTTTTTTGAAACTTAATAAACTTTGATAGCGCAGGCCTCTTCCTTCACTTTCAAACTTGGCTTATGAGTTATAATCACATGTCCATCTTTGCCATTTCGTCATTTCTATTCCGCATGCGTCATTTGCTTTTACCAACATGTCGACTTTTTGTTACTTAAACAGAACACAAACGATGTAGAATCGATGATCAGATCAATGAGAAAGTTGTATAGAATCGATGTAGCCGAGATCGATTTAGGAGTTGTAAAATTTACAAGTTGCTCCTCTGAAACCTTACCACATGGAATGCCGAGATCGTCTCTCATCTACTACCTCCATTATGCTTAATTTTTATAGATCCTCAATACATGTTTGATCCTTCCCTTACACTTCCTTATTCCATTTATATACTAATATCTCTTCTCTCATGTATAACCCCTTTCTATTTTAATCAACCTTTTAAGGCTTATTCTTCACATCCAGCTTAAAATCATCACTGCCACCTTAGCATCATAGTACGCCTTCCACATCCTATCACCATCTTACCATTTCTTTCATACCAAATCATGTCTCTAAAACTAATAAACTTCCCTTTTATGGAAGTTGTGTTATGTACCACCCAAACAACAAAATCTCCAAGTATAAAGTGACACTAATTAAGTTAAACATAGGCTTGAGTTGAGTTGCAACAGACCAATCCGTTCAGTTTCCAAACAGTCTACACATTTTTTCATTTGGAATTGGCGAATCATTGTTCTTGTTATGAACACCAAGACTATATATATGCTTTTTCTCTTTAACCAACCACCATCTTCTCTCGTATCTTTTGTAGTTTTTAGAAACTAGGGTTGGACTCGCGCGTTGCGCGAGTTTGGTTTCTCTTGATTTTTTTGTGCTATTTTCTTATGTTTTGTACCTATATCATGTATAGCGTGTATTGGTAAGTATTTATGTTAGTATATAAGTATTTTTTTACATTCATTAACACATTCTAATATCATATAGTTAATTATCAATTTGGGTGTGAAAATTTATAAAAAAAAATTCTTTCAATTTGGCAATGATTTTAAGTAAATACTTTTTAGGTTTTCAGAACTTATTATTATATTTTTTTATTGTAATATAGCTCCATCCAATCTTCAAACATATTCTAATTATAATCGTGCAACGCATAGATCAATATATTTACTTTTGTGATTTTTTACGTAAGACACTAATATAATTATAGAAAGTTAATTTTGTACATAATCTTTTTTTTACGTTTTCTTAAACACTTAAAAATTATATTGTGTAGATTTGTTTGGGTTAAAATCATTAGTTCAAATATTAAATTATTAAATATGTATTTTTCTTGGATTACAGTGTAGAACTACGTACATTTTTACATAAAGATCATATATCATTGTCCATGTGTTTTGTTGTACAATTTATGAATAATGTCACCATTTATTTTTTACTTTATATGTATCAAAACTTAAGTTTTTTTATAGGGACAATTGCAAAAATACCATTTTTGGTATGCCACTAATACAATATAGTTAATCCAAACATAAATGATATAATGAGGAAATAATTTTGAAAAAGTGGCATTTTTGCAAAGATCTCAAAATTTCTCTTTTTATATTTATTTTAAATTATGGTATTACAACATTTTCAATCTGTTTCTTTTATGTTTCCAAAAAAAAACTCAAATATAAAATTTTGAATAAAAATCTTATATTTAAAAATTTCACCTTATTTTCTCATATTTAGTGAAATTGTTCTATATCCTCTTTTTGAATAAAATCTTTTTCTGATCTATTAGTGAACATTAATTTCTCAAAATTTTTCTTAGTGAAATCATATATCTTCTCTTTTTTTTTTAAACCTTCAACCTCCTAACAATCAGTTGAAACACAATTATGATGATTCAATAAATAACATAATTTTTTTTTTGTTATCTCATATTGTTCATTTAYATTTTTATTCATCGCTCTTATATATAAACTCATAATATCTTGATTACTTTCTAATGAACTACAATATAAATGAAATCTATTCGTTATTGTAATTTTTATTTAGAAAATAAAATACTCAAAGAATCTTAAAATATGGTTCGCGTGATACATGAGTTATACAATTTTATTAAATTTAAAGACAAAA